ATCTTTAAAGCAGTTAGAGTCCTACTTTAAGTGAAGATTTGTTTTGTGGTTGATTTTTAGAGATGATTGAACTGAGTGTTATGGAAAACTTGCACAATCAATTCCTYTTTTTTTTTTTTCTCCTTTTCTTTCCTTTCTGTTAACCATACGGTCCTAAGTAGATTTTGATGGTTACAAAGCTAGATGAAACTCTTCATAAAATTCAGGTTAAAAGAGTTCTGTCTATTGACTCCTTTGAAGCTTGATCAGTTTGAATCCTTCTTCTGTTCAACAGTTATCTAGGATTTCTGCCATAGATTGCATTCATAAAAACAACAGAGGATCAGTACCTAGCGGATATCTGTCTCTAATGAACACTGCTGAATGTGAGAGGACTTACAAGTTAGTCTAGTGAACCACTAGCTTTCTGCCTTCCACCTATTTTGCTTTCAAAAAAAGTATTAAAAAACATGATCAGAGGGTGAGATTTTGTTGTTAGCATGTGGCCTGGCAATGTGAGTGTAAATAGGAAAYTGTGAATAGAAGACAAAACAAATTAATTTTGACATGTTTTAAGAAGCATTGTTGGCTGAAATTTTMCACCACAATCAAGCCTGAGGTTGATGGCAGGCACGAAAACCTGCAGCTGAAGCACTTGAAGTGTGGCAGTGTAATAAAACAGCCGTTTTAATAGCTGTCCAGATGACCTTGACTGCAGGAGTTACTACCTGGAGCACAGAGAACCAAGATGTGGAGGTCAGTTGCACCTCTGAGTCTAAGGCTTCATCCTGTGACGTGCCAAGTACTCRTCACTGCTGCCATGAGAAAGCATCTTTGACAAACGAGACCCAAAATAAACCACTGCTTCTCAGGTGCCTGGCAAAGGGTGTGGAGACAGACCTTGTGGTACTTCCAGGAAATGAACAAAAACAGGCCATGACAGGCAGAGGGGCAATGTCGGAGAAACTGCCCTGGCAGCTGATCCTTCCTATGGGTATCAGATAAGCTCCAGCTCAGTCACCAGCCCTGTACAGCCCTGGAAGGGATGGTCGTAATCAAAAAACAGGGATGCTTAATAGAAAAATAATAGTAGGAGGTCAGTGTAAAGAAGCAGCTCCCTGGTGTGATGCTTACTTTCATTCAAAGCCTGCCAATGACAAAAGCTCATCCAGCCTTTCTTCTTTAGGGGAAAAAATTACAGCAGCCAGAGGTCATTTTCACTTAGTATTCCAAGCAAACAAATAGATGAATAAAGAAACTTTCCTGCGAAAGAAATCATTTGCACTACATAGGTAGTAAATCATATTGATTGGGAAATTTAGAGAAACAATAAGTGGTTTATGAATCAATAAAGGCTTCAGTTATTAACTTGTCATTTATCCAATCTAGCTTCAAAACCAGCTTCTCAGCTAATGATGCTACTCAGAACAAAATATTAATCTGAACACAGTGGTTCCATCTTTCAAAAAAGCTTATTTTTCCGTAACCACACACGCTGTTGGCAAAGTACCACAAGTGATTTTCTCATCTTAATAGACAAACAAACAATCTAAAAACCCTGGTGATTACTTTAAGTATGAAGTACTGGCCACAGTTACAAAAAAAAAAAAAAAAAAAAAAAAAAAAAAAAAAAAAAAAAAAAAAAAAAAAAAAAAAAAAAAAAAAAAAAAAAAAAAAAAAAAAAAAAAAAAAAAAAAAAGAGTAAAAGGAAAAAAGGAAATTATTAGTTATTATCTATTACTGTGTCATTATCTGGAATTATACCAATCTCTTTTATCACTGAATAGTCTATTATTTGTTTGCTTACTAGACTGGAAGACACAACATTCAGCTTAAAAGCTTTCTAAAAAGAATGGACAGAGAAAATGAATGTATTCTTTTAAGAAAAATATGGTAGGTGTATAGTTTGGATTTAAACAGTCAGAAATAATATCTTCTCTCTGGTAGATTAGAGGGACTACAAGGGGAGCAACTGGGTGGGAATGCAGGTGTGTACTGCACACTAGACAACTGGATCTGACATTGTTAGGAACAACATCGACAGTCTGCAATCATATAGAAAACATAAGCAAATTGAAGGAGACCTCAGGTGATGCCCTGCCCTAATAAAGGAAAAATCTTCTCTTATCCTAAACTGACGTTAAAGAACCTCCCACAGTGAGTTTTCTGATTTCAGGATTAATGTCAAAAGCATCACAAGAACCAATACCTCTTCAAACTCTCTATGCAAAGACCAGATTGCATGTTGCCTACGTGATGAATGTCAGATCAAGTTTTGACAGAGGACTTGAGGATCTCTTCATGGAAACAAGGCAAATGGTTGGCAAAAATCCTCTCTTGAGCTACTTTTGCAAGTGATTTAGGCATTATATTGTGTGCAATGCCTATAGGAAATAAAAACAAACAAAACAAACACAGAAACCTAAAGGAAGATACTCAAGTAGAGAGTGGATGATAAGAAAAAGTGTGGAAAGGAAAGGAAGCAAAAGGAACAATGAGTGTCCTGGTTGTGAGAGTCACCTCATGACTCTGAGTACATACAGAGCAGATATCTACCCGTGAGCCCATCATCCTTCATTCCTTTCCACAGTAACACTGGAGATAAAGAGGCACTTCTAGGACACAACTCATCTCATCCTAAAGAGAACATCTAAAATACGTCAAACATTTTGCCTGCTGCCAGTGCCTGTTTGTTTTGTTTTGTTTTTCATTGATTCTAAAAGGAGCCTGGGGGATTGGAAAGTATCTGGATTTAGTCAGATGATTCCCATATCTGACTCCAAGAGGTTCAGCAGTTCATATTTCCACGTGAATCTGGCACTCTCAAGCATATTTAATAATACAGTTTCTTCATTGAACTGATTATTTAAATAAAAAGAGCATCTAAATTTAGTCCCATAGAGAAGGGATGTGTTAAAGGGGAATTCACATTACATATTATCTATGTCTTCTCAAGAAGTCCTTTTTTTTTTTTTTTCAATTTACTATACTGTACTAGAAGGATATCAGGCACCTCAAGTGGAAAAAATCCAAGACATAGTATCAACTTTAACATTAAGACAAAATAAGCAGAATACTCTAGGTAAGAACAATATTCCTCATTTTCTAGATAAAAGGAGACACCTTTGATATAGTCCTTCTAGTTAGATCTTTCTGTTTAAAACAGCAACGTATTTCTGATATAGAACAACCACCAAGGACAGCTTGCATAAGCAATGCTAACTTCAGAAAATGCAAAGTCTAACCACTTCAAAGAGAGAACACTGTTGAGGTCTGAAGCAGAACTGAGTTTTCTTAAATATTCCTCATTAGTTGTGCTTGCTTTCAGCACTATTTAGAGAAATATTACTTTAAATCACACCCTGAGTCCACCTGTGAAATGAACTATCCATGCTCCATGGCCTGTCAAGGACCTACAACTGTGGTTTCACACTGGATGGTGAATATTTGCTGTCTCAAGGCTCAGGAAACTCAAGGTTTTGGAGGATCAAGCCAAGCATTACAGCTTTGCTGCTCAAAAATATCTATTTTCATAGATAAATAACATAACATAACATATCTTAATAWAACATAACATAAAATACATTTTCTGGAATCTAAACTGCATCTTATAAGTAAAGATCTTCAATTATGCTAAATGTTTGTACTCTAAACTGTACTCTAAATTTAAAATACCTCTTTTTACAGCTGTGAGTCTAGGCCAAAGAATATAAAAATCAAGACAAAATACTAAGAAGAAAATTATTCACTAAAGGTCAGAAAGCAATTTTGCCACTCAAATTCAAAATAAAACTATGAGCAGTTCTGGTTTTCATTCCGCATGTTCACTGGAGGTTTACAAAGGACCAGATCAATAACTGTTTTAATGTKATTTAAAAGATTATCTACCTGCATAGCTGCATATGATGGCATTTCCATAAAGATTAGCTTTGACGTCCTCATTTAGATAGGACTTTGGTTTGGCAAAGTACATAAAGATGTAACTCAGTTTGAACAGTTTTTAGGATGTTGGACTTCTCTGAATATAGGGCAAAGGCAGAACGCTSATCTGGGAGACATGGCCCCAGTGCACAGGTTATGCTTGTTAGAGGCATGTCTATGCCCTCTGGCATAGTAAGTCTACTGAGTTCTGCACATTTTTAAAAATCGAATACTTGAACCAACTTCTCCAGCAAACAGCCAGATATTTTAATTACCATGAAGGCTAAGGTACAGAGAAAACATACCAACAGTAGACACAAAAAAATATGAGCTAAGAGTTCAGTGGTCACAAAAATATTCCTGTTAGTGAAGTACCTTGATGTCTTCCAGCGTTAGAATCTAGTGCTGGGTTCCCTGGGGGGAGRGTCATCTTTTCCATGTGAGTTAATCTATTGAATATTTAATGTTGATATAGCATAAAGTAGTAATTCTGAAAATGAACTCCAAAGCTCATCTCTGACTGTCCTACATGTCTACATTTTGTGTAAAAATCCATACTCTCCTGAGAAAGGAAATGTTTCTGAAAGTTTTGATCTCTCTACAGATTCAAAGTGCTTTATTGCTCATTGGAGAAACTACATGTGAGACAATAAATTTAATTTTAGGATAGAATATCAGTTTGTGTATATATGGTTTCTATGGGAGTGTGTTACTAAATAATTTTCCCCCTAAATTACAGTCTAAAGTTATTTTTATGCTATATTTAACAGTTCCTGTTTCAGCCCATATAGACATATGTCCTTTGTCAACTTTATTTAAATTTACAGCTCTAAGACTGTCAAACTGTGGTTAATTGGTTGGTAATGGGATTGAAGGTAGCAAACTCATCCATTTCCCCATCTTGGTGGCATGTGCAGGTTCCATCGCAGTGACCTATTTGACAGAGCTGCAAACATGCACAAGCATCAAGACAAAAATCCTTTTTGATGTGAGAGCGAGCAAAGCATTCTTCTATTCACCACAGAGCAGTAGACATCYACCTGATCAAATTCAGGCACATAGTGTGAATAATATAAGAGAAGTGTCAGTGAAGACTTACCAAAGCAGGAGTTGACAAAGCCATACCACCTGCAGCCATGTTCCCCTCCGATCCATTTGCCCTGGATGTTAGATGCAAAACTGAGGGTCGTGCCTGAGATGCACACTAACATGTCACTGATGCTGATGTTCAGGAGGAGCATGTTGACCGGATTCCGAAGGGTTTTAAACTTGCAGAAGAGGATGAGGACGGTCAAGTTATTCACGAAACCAAAAAACAAGATAAATCCCAGAAAAATAGCTACTACTGTGTGCCCATTTCGTGAGAGTCCGGTCTTTGGCTCAACAGGGCCTGTAGGTGTACCAAAACTCAAGTTGTATGTCCAAGTGTGATTCATTTCTGACTTTGACACAGAAAAGTGGGGAGAAGTCCAATGTCGTACTCTGAAGTCTGCTGTAACKTTCACAAGAACATTTCTCCATTACAGCTCAAATCATTGTGGTCTTGCTTGTGGTCTTCCTATATCTGAGATAGTTCTTTGATGTTAACACAGACATGAAATACTGAGTTGCAACACAGGAATGTATTATGGCACTGTCTGTTTAGTGTTAAATTCTGCACAGATCTCCAAGATAGCAAAATCAAGCAGAGGAATCAGCTCAAATTCAGCTTTGCTATCAAAATACAAGATGATCTCTTCAGAGGCTTAAGAAGGAAGATATCTTAAAAAAGGTGCATGAACATGTTCTCTTCCTTGAGAGCAGATTAAGAGCTATCAGCTGTCAGCATCCAACCAATTCCAGCATCACCCAATGTTTCTTCTGACAAAAGGAGTCTTTCTGAGAAAAGAAAAGAGAAGACAACACTTAATAAAAACAAAACAATTTTTTCCATTTTAAGACCAAACCACATATATTATTTGATTACAGTTACTCCTTCACYTAATTTTAACAAATATTTCATGGAATCATAGAATCATTATTGTTCAAGATCATCAAGTCCAACCATAAACACTTCACCATCTGCCTGCTAAACTGTGTCTCTAAGTGCCTCATCTACATGTTTCTTGAGCACTGGCAGAGATGGTCACTCCACCACTTCTCTGGGGAGCCTGTTCCAAGGCTGTTTACCCTCTTTCCATGTGGAAATTCTTCCTAATGTCTAATCTGAACCTCCCCTAGCACAACTTGAGGCCATTTCCTCTGGTCCTATTTCCCTGTAGAAGAGATTTGATCCCTGCCTCACTACAGCCTCCTTTCAGGTAGTTGTAGAGAGTAGTAAGGTCTCCCCTGAGCCTCCTCTTCTCCAGACTAAATAACTCCAGCTCCTTCAGCCATCCTTCATAAGGTCTGCACTCCAGCCCCTTCACCAGTTTCGTTGACTATTTCTCATCTTTTTAGCTTTTTCTGATTTTTAACAGAAAGTCAAAGGTTCTTTGGATATTCTAAATATTTTCTCCTGGATTACAGTTTATTCTGGACAAGGCTACTTTCATCTTTTTAGTAAAGTTTCTCAGGTGAGAAAAAGCATGATAAAATGGAACCTAATGAAGCTTTAGACTTGGTTAGGGCTCAATTAAAATTACTCTAAATTTAGGGAGAGTTCTAAGTCCTCTTTACCCAGAAAGAATAATTTCAAGTGCAGCTACTGAAACTTTCATAGGCTTACAAAAGTTGGCAGAGCTGTAATACTCATGTCAATTCTCTCACAGTTGCCAGTGGACAGATATTCTCTTGCATTATTTATAAAATAGCCAAGTTCTATAGTTTCACATATCTCTCCTACCACAGACATGAATTTGGATATCCATATGCAATGAAAACAATGTTTATATATTTTGTGAAGCAATGACAAAATGCTTAGTTTTTTAGCTCTTTAGCCAGGCTTCATCACAGATGCAGACAAATTCTGCACAGACTTATTCATAAAAATGAGAGGTGTACATATATATATATSTATATAACATTTTCAGTTCTTCAGTGAATAATGCCCACAGTTTGCTGCACTAAAAACAGAAGAACTTTTCAGAAGTCACGGACTCATTAGAGTGACACACATTTCAAATACTTTCTCTATTACTCCTAACGACTGCTTTTTGGAAATAGTCTTCTAGAAAAGATATATTAACCAACTGAAAAGATGAAAGAGTCCTTCAGAGTCTACTGATGACAAGATTTCTTTTTCCTTTTAACATAGCTGTGTGTATCCTACCTTTTCACAATATATCTTATAGCAATTATTTCTTTACKTTCACAAAGTTACTGTGCAAAATATACATCATCAGTTCAGTGCACTCTATCTAACGTACACAATCTGTCTTAAATTTGTCCTATCATGAGTAAATTAAGTGTACTTTACTGGAGACCATATACTCTTTGGTCATACACAGTCTGAAGAGATCGTTCCTTCTACATTTCCTTCACATTTAGGAAAGATGGAGTCACTTGGATTGGTAAAGCACTCAAATGTCCGGAAGAACACCTAAAGTCCTCATCTTACCCTTCTTTTTTTTTTTTTTTTTAATATCTTCTTTCCACTGTCAGTTTTAGATTATAGAAAGGCATAGACTGGGACTCACCATGAACATACTCTTAATTCACTTATACTTGTTCTTAAAGTAGAAGAATTAAAGTTTAGTGGAAATAAAACACAAAAGTAAGAACAATGATCAGAATTATGATGTTGATACACTAATTGTGTGATTGAAAAGGAATACAGCTGCAATTTTTTTGAGAAAAAAACCATCATGGCATTGTGCTGCAYTGGAAATTCAGAAGAAGAAATTCACAGGAAAAAGAAAGAGTGTAAAGTAAAACAAACTGAACCATTTGTGCGTATTTTCATAATTTTGCTTATGTCTAAGCTCCTAACAAATGATCTATTATTTTTTTCACAATTCCAATGACAAATATGTGTAATCTGCTTGCATGTCACTCTTAACTGTAATGGCAACTGAGGCCAATCCTATCTGTTCCTTTTAAAAGCATATTGCAGAATTTGCCTTCAAAATTTGCAGGGACTTAAGTCTGATTTACAAACAGATTAATTCAGTTACAAATGTAATTTTTTCCAGGCTGAACTGGTTAGATCTAAATAATCTAGAGCAAAGATCACAGTACACTAGTATAAATATTTTGGTGTGGGAATTGACTTCACTAGAAAAATCACAGACACAGGACTTGAACTATACGCATATAAAATTATTGTTAAGGCACCATGACCTTGGAGTTAGACAAAGCTGAAGGTTTTAATCACTTTAGGGACTATGACATGCTTTGTTTATGTGTCACTACTAAACTCAACATTAGAATTACAAGATATAGATCTTTTACACACAGTTACGTAAATATTGAATTTTTAAGGACGTATATGAAGAGCTTATATTTATGTGTTTGTAAAGCATATGCTCACTGGGTAGGACTCAGCTGACTGAACTTGAGCAATCTGACATCAGGAGGGCCTGCAAAGCTGGCTGTGGAGATCACTGCCTCAATGCCTGCAGGACCTGCGATGCATTCAGCTTCTGCCCCAGTGCACGTGCAAATCACGCCCCAGTGCGTAGGAGAAAGGAGGAGCCCCTGGTAACTGAGTAAAGGATATATTTTTAGAAACTACTGTGTACCCTGCTAAGGTCAAGCCATGATGCCAGCTGGAATGAAATGAGACTAAATTGGACATTCTAAGATGGTTACGAAAAGTTTTGCGAGAACTTTAGCAACAGAAGAGAATCTACCAAGGAAAATGTCTGAAGAACTGCTCTGTGTCTCGTATTAGAAGGTGTATAAAGCACTAAGTAATATAGGCTTTTAGATAAAGTACACACCAAATTCAGACTTCAGAAATAAATCTACTGTCATGCAAAGCCTTTGAAAGAATAGGCCTAATTCTAATTTAACTTCAGCATTAAAGTGAATAATACATAATACTGAAGAGGATATAAAGACAGGTTTTTGTGCTTGATGTCTCATGTCATTTTTTTTCCTCTTYACGAGCTTTTTGTTAGTTTTTAAACTTGTTTTATGGAGTGACACTCCATAATCATCAAAGACAAAGATGTGAACACATCTTGAGAAAGAGGAACACACAAAACATTGTGAAAAGGGGTCAAAAGTTCATTTAATGCTAACATTTACTAAAAGCTTCATCTGTTAACAGAGATACTGATACTAGAAATCTAAAGCCACCATCATCACTTGCCTTACCCTCTGAAGCTGCCTATGAGAAAGATGATGATACATTGGCTTCTGGAAATACGGCCACTCTTACTAAGAGTGTAAGGCTTGTTTTTGCCACCTGCCACCTCACATTAATAAGTTTGAGCAATATTATGCAGCAGCGAAGCCTTTTTTTTTTCTTCTCATTTCACCCCAAATAAACATCAATTTATGGAATGCATTTGCTTTAAGATTTTAAGGGTGGGGTTTTTCAAAATGAACTCCTTCTTTATTTGTGATCACAATTCCTAACTTTCTTCCCTTGCAAAACTTTGCAACAGGACAAAAATAAAAATAAATAAATAAATAAATAAATAAAAGCTTAATTCAATTTAAACAGATGATATAGTCCCAGAAAAAAATACATTCAAAATTGAAAAGTTTTGCTTTAAAAAAAAAGAGAGAGAACAAAAGGATCTAGATAGCAAAACTTACATTTGTGTGTGCACACAGCCTTATTCACCCTGCTAACAGTCTATACTAAAATCAAATTTGGAAATAATGATTTATATTCACTTATTCACAATACTATTTCAAAATTCAATCCCAGATGAAATTTTACAAAGAGAGAATCAATTATTTTACCTGATGACAGATTTTAAGGGGTAAGGTATTTAGTTTAACTTRTTCCTGACTAGTTTTTTTCACACTTGAGTAACACCAGAAGATGTCAAAACATCCTGAATTAAGTCTTTAGAAGCAATCTCTAAAAGAGGGGAGGAGTTTTGGTCCGGTTGTTGAAGTATCTCCCAGCTCCTGCAGCCTGCTACCTGTGAGAGAAGCTCTTGCATGCAATCTTATAGACTTACTTTTAGGAATTCAAGTTGATAAAAGGTGCTAAGATGAAATCAAAACCAACAGACTAGCAGCCCATSCTATGAAGCCTCCCACCTCTGCTCTTTACCCAAGGGAGTTTTTTAACAGTGTAGTAAAACATGGTAAGATCTCAGAGCACTTCTCTTGAAATAAAGGCTACTTGTGTTTACTMATTTAAAAGTTAGATGCTGTAAGGTGTGAAGAGGAATTTATAGCCAAACATTTTTATTCCAACAGTAAATAAGACAGACCCATTTCTGTGCTGAGGAGAAATAATGACAAAAGTCTCTTTAAAGCCTTAACTGAGATCACTGCTGGTTTGCAGCAGAGTGAATAGAGAACATCTTTTCTCAACACTTCAAACCTGCCCAAGCTTTTAAATCCCATCTCAAGCAAAAGCCCAGGTCCCTTCAGCCAAAACAAGTGAGTAGGAAGAGCACCAGCTGCACCACCCTTTATGATTCTGCCTGACCCTTGCAAACTTTCTCTACCAAAAAAAAAAAAAAAAGTG